TAAATTTTGGGGTTTCAGGGGGGTGTTTAAAGTTAGGTTCAGGGTTTGGTGCGGAAGTTAGGGTCGGGGTTTTGGTGTTTTGAGGGCCCGGGGTCGGGGGGGGGTGTTTGAAATTTTGGGGTCAGGGTGGTGGGGTGAATTTTGGGTCGGGGGTGGTGCTGGGGTCGGGGTCAGGGTGGTGCGAATTTTTAGGGTCGGGGGTGGTCCCAAAGGGTTGGGGTCAGGGGGTCTGAAGTTAGGGTCAGGGTGATCCCTGGGTCGGGCAGGCTGGGGGCAAAGGGTTGGGGGTCGGGGGTGGTGCTGAAGGGGGGGTTTTCAGGAGGTGTTTGAATTTGGGGTTTCAGGGTGGGCTAAAGGGTTGGGTCGGGGGGTTTTGCTGGGGTTTTCGGGTCAGGGTGGGGGCTGAAGTCGGGGCCCCTTGGGTGGTCCCTTAAGTCGGGGCCCAAAGGGTTTGGGTGTGAGGTCAGGGTCGGGGGGTGTTTTAAGTTAGGGCCCGGGGGGTGCTAAAGGGTAAGGGGGGCTGAAGGGGGTTTTCGGGGTTTGGTGCGGGAATTTTGGGTTCAGGGTGGTCCCTGAATGTCAGGGTCAGGGGGGGGTGCGGGAAATTTTGGGTCAGGGCGGTGTAAAGTTAGGTCAGGGGGGGTTTGGTTGTAAGTTGGGGGCCCAGGGTGGTGCTGAATTTAGGGTCAGGGGGTGCTGAAGTCGGGGGTCAGGGGGGGGTGCTAAAAGTTAGGGTCGGGGGTGGTGCGGAATTTTTAAGGGGTTCGGGGTTTTGCTGGGTCAGGGGTCAGGGCAGGTGCTGAAGTTAGGGTCGGGGTTTGGTTTCTGAAGTTGGGGTCGGGGTGGTTTGAATTTAAAGGGTCAGGGAGGTGCTAAATTTTCAGGGCCGGGTGGTGCTGAAGTTAGGGCCCGGGTTTGGTGTTTAAAAGTTAGGGTCAGGGGGGGCCCTGAATTAGGGCAGGGTGGGGGCGGGAATTTCGGGGTCAGGGGGGTGCTGAATTAGGGTCAAGGGGTGGGGCTAAAGGGTTGGGGTCAAGGGTGGTGCTAAATTTCAGGGTCAGGGATGGTGTGGGTTGGGTCAGGGTGGTGCTGAAGTTAGGGTCAGGGTGGTGCTGAGGTCAGGGTCAGGGTGGTGCTGAAGTCAGGGTCAGGGTGGTGCTGAAGTTAGGTTCAGGGTGGTGCTGAAGTTAGGGTCAGGGTGGTGCTGAGGTCAGGGTCAGGGTGGTGCTGAAGTTAGGGTCAGGGTGGTGCTGAAGTTAGGGTCAGGGTGGTGCTGAGGTCAGGGTCAGGGTGGTGCTGAAGTCAGGGTCAGGGTGGTGCTGAAGTTAGGGTCAGGGTGGTGCTGAAGTTAGGGTCAGGGTGGTGCTGAAGTCAGGGTCAGGGTGGTGCTAAAGTTAGGGTCAAGGTGGTGCTGAAGTTAGGGTCAGGGTGATGCTGAAGTTAGGGTCAGGGTGGTGATGAGGTCAGGGTCAGGGTGGTGCTGAAGTCAGGGTCAGGGTGGTGCTGAAGTTAGGGTCAGGGTGATGCTGAAGTTAGGGTCAGGGTGGTGCTGAAGTCAGGGTCAGGGTGGTGCTGAGGTCAGGGTCAGGGTGGTGCTGAAGTTAGGGTCAGGGTGGTGCTGAGGTCAGGGTCAGGGCGGTGCTGAAGTTAGGGTCAGGGTGGTGCTGAAGTTAGGGTCAGGGTGGTGCTGAAGTTAGGGTCAGGGTGGTGCTGAAGTCAGGGTCAGGGTGATGCTGAAGTCATGGTCAGGGTGATGCTGAAGTTAGGGTCAGGGTGGTGCTGAAGTTAGGGTCAGGGTCAGGGTGGTGCTGAAGTTAGGGTCAAGGTGGTGCTGAAGTTAGGGTCAGGGTGGTGCTGAAGTTAGGGTCAGGGTGGTGCTGAAGTTAGGGTCAGGGTGATGCTGAGGTCAGGGTCAGGGTGGTGCTGAAGTTAGGGTCAGGGTGGTGCTGAAGTTAGGGTCAGGGTGGTGCTGAAGTCAGGGTCAGGGTGGTGCTGAAGTCAGGGTCAGGGTGGTGCTGAAGTTAGGGTCAGGGTGGTGCTGAAGTTAGGGTCAGGGTGGTGCTGAGGTCAGGGTCAGGGTGGTGCTGAAGTCAGGGTCAGGGTGGTGCTGAAGTTAGGGTCAGGGTGGTGCTGAAGTTAGGGTCAGGGTGGTGCTGAGGTCAGGGTCAGGGTGGTGCTGAAGTCAGGGTCAGGGTGGTGCTGAAGTTAGGGTCAGGGTGGTGCTGAAGTCAGGGTCAGGGTGGTGCTGAAGTTAGGGTCAGGGTGGTGCTGAAGTCAGGGTCAGGGTGGTGCTGAGGTCAGGGTCAGGGTGGTGCTGAAGTTAGGGTCAGGGTGGTGCTGAAGTTAGGGTCAGGGTGGTGCTGAAGTTAGGGTCAGGGTGGTGCTGAAGTTAGGGTCAGGGTGGTGCTGAAGTCAGGGTCAGGGTGGTGCTGAAGTTAGGGTCAGGGTGGTGCTGAAGTTAGGGTCAGGGTGGTGCTGAAGTCAGGGTCAGGGTGGTGCTGAAGTTAGGGTCAGGGTGGTGCTGAGGTCAGGGTCAGGGTGGTGCTGAAGTTAGGGTCAGGGTGGTGCTGAAGTTAGGGTCAGGGTGGTGCTGAAGTTAGGGTCAGGGTGGTGCTGAAGTCAGGGTCAGGGTGGTGCTGAAGTCAGGGTCAGGGTGGTGCTGAAGTTAGGGTCAGGGTGGTGCTGAAGTTAGGGTCAGGGTGGTGCTGAAGTCAGGGTGGTGCTGAAGTTAGGGTCAGGGTGGTGCTGAAGTCAGGGTCAGGGTGGTGCTGAAGTCAGGGTCAGGGTGGTGCTGAAGTTAGGGTCAGGGTGGTGCTGAAGTTAGGGTCAGGGTGGTGCTGAAGTTAGGGTCAGGGTGGTGCTGAGGTCAGGGTCAGGGTGGTGCTGAAGTCAGGGTCAGGGTGGTGCTGAAGTTAGGGTCAGGGTGGTGCTGAGGTCAGGGTCAGGGTGGTGCTGAAGTTAGGGTCAGGGTGGTGCTGAAGTTAGGGTCAGGGTGGTGCTGAGGTCAGGGTCAGGGTGGTGCTGAAGTCAGGGTCAGGGTGGTGCTGAAGTTAGGGTCAGGGTGGTGCTGAAGTTAGGGTCAGGGTGGTGCTGAAGTCAGGGTCAGGGTGGTGCTAAAGTTAGGGTCAAGGTGGTGCTGAAGTTAGGGTCAGGGTGATGCTGAAGTTAGGGTCAGGGTGGTGATGAGGTCAGGGTCAGGGTGGTGCTGAAGTCAGGGTCAGGGTGGTGCTGAAGTTAGGGTCAGGGTGATGCTGAAGTTAGGGTCAGGGTGGTGCTGAAGTCAGGGTCAGGGTGGTGCTGAGGTCAGGGTCAGGGTGGTGCTGAAGTTAGGGTCAGGGTGGTGCTGAGGTCAGGGTCAGGGCGGTGCTGAAGTTAGGGTCAGGGTGGTGCTGAAGTTAGGGTCAGGGTGGTGCTGAAGTTAGGGTCAGGGTGGTGCTGAAGTCAGGGTCAGGGTGATGCTGAAGTCATGGTCAGGGTGATGCTGAAGTTAGGGTCAGGGTGGTGCTGAAGTTAGGGTCAGGGTCAGGGTGGTGCTGAAGTTAGGGTCAAGGTGGTGCTGAAGTTAGGGTCAGGGTGGTGCTGAAGTTAGGGTCAGGGTGGTGCTGAAGTTAGGGTCAGGGTGGTGCTGAAGTCAGGGTCAGGGTGGTGCTGAAGTTAGGGTCAGGGTGGTGCTGAAGTTAGGGTCAGGGTGGTGCTGAAGTCAGGGTCAGGGTGGTGCTGAAGTCAGGGTCAGGGTTGTGCTGAAGTTAGGGTCAGGGTGGTGCTGAAGTTAGGGTCAGGGTGGTGCTGAAGTCAGGGTCAGGGTGGTGCTGAAGTCAGGGTCAGGGTGGTGCTGAAGTTAGGGTCAGGGTGGTGCTGAAGTTAGGGTCAGGGTGGTGCTGAGGTCAGGGTCAGGGTGGTGCTGAGGTCAGGGTGGTGCTGAAGTCAGGGTCAGGGTGGTGCTGAAGTCAGGGTCAGGGTGGTGCTGAAGTTAGGGTCAGGGTGGTGCTGAAGTTAGGGTCAGGGTGGTGCTGAAGTTAGGGTCAGGGTGGTGCTGAAGTCAGGGTCAGGGTGGTGCTGAAGTTAGGGTCAGGGTGGTGCTGAAGTTAGGGTCAGGGTGGTGCTGAAGTTAGGGTCAGGGTGGTGCTGAAGTCAGGGTCAGGGTGGTGCTGAAGTTAGGGTCAGGGTGGTGCTGAAGTTAGGGTCAGGGTGGTGCTGAAGTCAGGGTCAGGGTTGGGGAGGGGGATTTAAGCCAGGGCCCGGGTTGGGGCGAATTTTAGGGTCGGGGTTTAAATGCTGAAGTCAGGGGGTTTAGGGTGGGATGGGCCCAGGGTGGGTGGGCTGAGGTCGGGGTTTGGGCTGGGGTCAGGGTCGGGGTTTGGTGCTGGGGTCAGGGTGGTGTTTGGGGGTCAGCGTCGGGGGTGGTGCTGAGGTAAAGGGTGGTGCTAAAAGTTGGGGTTTCAGGGGGTGTGAAGTGGGGTCAGGGTGGGTGCTGAATTTCAGGGCCCGGGGTTTTGGGGCTAAAAGTCAGGGGTCGGGGGTTGAGCTGAAGTTAGGGTCGGGGTGGTGCTGAAGTCGGGGTCAGGGTGGTGCTGAAGCGGGTTTCGGGGTTTGAGCTGAAGTCGGGGTTTTCAGGGTTGAGCTAAGTTGGGGGTTCGGGGTGATGCTGAAGTCAGGGTTAGGGGGGTGCTGGAGGTCGGGTCGGGGGGGGGTTTGCTAAAGGTAAAGGGTGGTGCTGAGGTCAGGGTCAGGGTGGTGCTGAGGTCAGGGTGGTGCTGAGGTCAGGGGTCAGGGTGGTGCTGAGGTCAGGGTGGGTGCTGAGGTCAGGGTGGTGCTGAGGTCAGGGTCAGGGTGGTGCTGAGGTCAGGGTGGTGCTGAGGTCAGGGTCAGGGTGGTGCTGAGGTCAGGGTGGTGCTGAGGTCAGGGTCAGGGTGGTGCTGAGGTCAGGGTGGTGCTGAGGTCAGGGTGGTGCTGAGGTCAGGGTCAGGGTGGTGCTGAGGTCAGGGTTCGGCCGCTCATACCTGTTTCTTGGTCCACGCTCTGAAGGCTCCATTGATGATTTTGGCGCCATGTATCAGGTATGCTGCGGGCTGCTTGTTGGCTTTGTGTAAACCTGCAGAAAAAGAGAAGGCAGAGGTTGCTAAGCCCAGACAGACTTGGAAAGGAAAAACCAGGGCAATGCAGAAGAGGAGGGGTCAGATAGGTCAGCCACTGTTACACATCAGCCCCAGCAGGGGGAGCCGAGGAGTGGCGCCTCTAGGCCTCAGCAGGCTTCATGTGAGGTCAGAGAAAGCCCTTCCTGCCCTTTAGGGTCGGTTCACTGGGACCCTAAACCTGCTGCTCTGGTACCAGTTTGGCTCATAAAGTTCAGATGGTTCAGATGACAACAGAACCAGCATGGAGGACGGGTCAGAGGACAGAAATACAGGAGATAGAAGAACCAGCACACTGCAGGTGTGAGAAATGTAGGTTGCAGCGTCATGCTGGGGGAGGTGTTTCTACACGAAGGTCAGAGGGAGGAGCTAAATGCAAGGAGATGGAGGTCCTGCTGCTGCAGGCAGCACCACGGCCAGCACCCCTCCATGCAGCAGATCCATCCAACATCTGCTGCATGTTTCCATAGCAACACCTCACCAGCTTCATACTGTGGGGTCAGACGGTTAGATGATCATCAGGGCAGCTTTGGAAAGCAGGAGGTAAGAGACGGAGGCGGCGAGCAGCGAGCGCTGGGCCGCTAAGGGGAAAATAAAAAGTGGGTGTCTCCAGTAGCTCAATAAACGTATTCAGATCCAAACTGAACACGTTTCTATCAACCTTCTGCTTCCTATGGCATCTCTGCACTCGTTAAAATAATAAACTGTTTAAAAAGAGGGAAGAATCGTCCCTCAGTCAGAGTCCGCACTCTATAAGCATTTAGGCTGACCCTGCGCTGCAGAAGGAAAGCTGCTCTGACTCCATCCTTCCTTTCCTCTGCTTTCTCTGGAAAAGGACCGATTAAAGAGAAAGGGACTTCCTGAGAACGCAGCACTGAACAAATGCTAGAAAACATAGCGGCTCACCTTTGAAGCGCTCCAGCAGGTGGCGTCCCACATACCAGCACGCCGTCTCAAAGTTGGGGAACGGGGTCAGAGTCTTCACCTTCAACCTCTTCTCGATTTCATACGCTCTGAGGAGAGGAAGCATGTTGGGTCACCAGCAGCTAGCATACATCACAGCAGGGTTAGTTAGCTCATTCCGAACCATGTAAGTGCTCGCTAACTGGGGTTAGCTAGCTCATTCAGAACCATGCAAATGCTCGTTAACCGGGGTTAGCTAGCTCATTCAGAACCATGCAAATGCTCGTTAACCAGGGTTAGCTAGCTCATTCAGAACCATGCTAGTGCTCGTTAACCGGGGTTAGCTAGCTCATTCAGAACCATGCTAGTGCTCGCTAACCGGGGTTAGCTAGCTCATTCAGAGCCATCCTAGTGCTCGCTAACCGGGGTTAGCTAGCTCCTTCAGAACCATGCAAATGCTTGTTAACCGGGGTTAGCTAGCTCATTCAGAACCATGCAAATGCTCGTTAACCGGGGTTAGCTAGCTCATTCAGAACCATGCTAGTGCTCGTTAACCGGGGTTAGCTAGCTCATTCAGAACCATGCTAGTGCTCGTTAACCGGGGTTAGCTAGCTCATTTAGAACCATGCTAGTGCTCGTTAACCGGGGTTAGCTAGCTCATTCAGAACCATGCAAATGTTCGTTAACCGGGGTTAGCTAGCTCATTCAGAACCATGCAAATGCTCGTTAACCGGGGTTAGTTAGCTCATTCAGAACCATGCTAGTGCTTGCTAACCGGGGTTAGCTAAATCCTTCAGAGCCAAACTAGTGCTCGCTAACCGGGGTTAGCTAGCTCCTTCAGAACCATGCAAATGCTCGTTAACCGGGGTTAGCTAGCTCATTCAGAACCATGCAAATGCTCGTTAACCGGGGTTAGCTAGCTCATTCAGAACCATGCAAATGTTCGTTAACCGGGTTAGCTAGCTCATTCAGAACCATGCAAATGCTCGTCAACCGGGGTTAGCTAGCTCATTCAGAACCATGCTAGTGCTCGTTAACCGGGGTTAGCAAGCTCATTCAGAACCATGCAAATGCTCGTTAACCGGGTTAGCTAGCTCATTCAGAACCATGCAAATGCTCGTTAACCGGGGTTAGCTAGCTCATTCAGAACCATGCTAGTGCTCGTTAACCGGGGTTAGCTAGCTCATTCAGAACCATGCAAATGCTCGCTAACCGGGGTTAGCTAGCTCATTCAGAACCATGCAAATGTTCGTTAACCGGGGTTAGCTAGCTCATTCAGAACCATGGAAATGCTTGTTAACCGGGGTTAGCTAGCTCATTCAGAACCATGCTAGTGCTCGTTAACCGGGGTTAGCTAGCCTATTCAGAACCATGCTAGTGCTCGCTAACTGGGCTGGGTTGCTTCAAAGGGGCCAATGCGTCTTTAAAACCACTGACCTCATCTGCATCTCCACACTCAGGTTGTGGACAAAGTGTCCACAGAAAGCCAGGCAGTCGACCGGGGTCAGCACGGCGTTGATCCATCCTGATCCAAAGAGAAACATCATCATCATCATCATCATCAGACTCAGACAGAACGACCAATCAAAAAAAAGCCGTCCTGTTTCTGACACAGACACCTTCCTGAGTCTGACCTGATGGGACGAAGAGTGTCTGGCCTTGCTTCAGGGTGCATTTGTAGCACTTGTCCACCTGGTCGGCGAAGAACATGCCGCTGTGGTTGGACGATGACCTCCAGCGCTCATACAGGGACAGGTTGGCAGAGGTGGGCTTGATAAGGAAGAAGATCTTCTCTCCCTGCAAACAGGAGCAGATGTTCAGCGGCATGTGAATGGCTGAACGCCAGCGTGCCAAGAAGCCACTGACCTTCAGGACGTGGTACCACACGGAGGCGCCGCCGCACTCGATGTGGAAGTCCGTGTAGCTGTCCTTCACGCAGATCAGACAGTATTTGGTGACTTTGGGTTTCCCCAGCAGGGCGTCGTCGGGCCAGTAGTTCTCCACCCAGGACAGGCGCCGCACTATCTGAGGACTCTCTACGATGGAGCTCATCCTGGAGAACACAGAGAGACACGGTGGTCAGGTCTGCTGCAGGACGCTGCCTTCAGGCGTCCCGCCACTCAGCCGCCGCACCTGGTGTCGGAGAACTCCAGGTTGATCACGTTCAGAACCTTCTTCCTGTTGGTGCTGTAGTAATAATCCACAAACTCTTTGAGCTTCATCTGGCTGTCCGTCTGCTTGGTGACGTCCACCACGTTGACGGTGACGTCTGGACCTGAGAGGACAGGAGAGGACAGCGTGAGAACATCTTACAGAACATCTCCTGCCCCCCACTGACAGAGCGCTAGCTCCCCCTGCTGGAGGACTGATCGGCTTCTGCACCTCCTGCTGCCTCAGAGCTTTCTAACAGGGAACCAATAGTCTCTGATTTATTCAGGACTGATGGTCACATGATGACTGAGAAATACGAAGCTTCTGAGGATCAGAGAAACCCTCAGGGAAGCAGCTTCAGTTACTCCAGAACTGTCAGAAGACAGCGTTCTTGGTCCCTGAGGCAGATGAAATGTGTCCTATTCGCTCCGTCGTTCACAGGTCGTCTCTCCGTCACGCCGCCCGCACATCTGGGCTGATTGGTTTAAAGCCAACGCCATGAATGGGAGATGAAATCCACCCAATGCTTCCTGTTTCACAGGAACTGGCAGGCAGGAAGTCGCCCATAGTTATAGAGGCCCCTCCCCCTTCACCCCGCCGGACGAGCCGAGGTAGGAAAAGAAAAGCTCCAGAAATGGAATCAGAAGGAAGCCCCACCCACTTTCAGAGCTCATCAGGTGAGACGTTCACAGCAGAGCCCACAGTGGGAGGAGCAGGTGAGACGTTCACAGCAGAGCCCACAGTGGGAGGAGCAGGTGAGACGTTCACAGCAGAGCCCACAGTGGGAGGAGCAGGTGAGACGTTCACAGCAGAGCCCACAGTAGGAGGAGCAGGTGAGACGTTCACAGCAGAGCCCACAGTGGGAGGAGCAGGTGAGACGTTCACGGCAGAGCCCACAGTGGGAGGAGCAGGTGAGACGTTCACGGCAGAGCCCACAGTGGGAGGAGCAGGTGAGACGTTCACGGCAGAGCCCACAGTGGGAGGAGCAGGTGAGACGTTCACAGCAGAGCCCACAGTGGGAGGAGCAGGTGAGACGTTCACGGCAGAGCCCACAGTGGGAGGAGCAGGTGAGACGTTCACAGCAGAGCCCACAGTGGGAGGAGCAGGTGAGACGTTCACAGCAGAGCCCACAGTGGGAGGAGCAGGTGAGACGTTCACAGCAGAGCCCACAGTGGGAGGAGCAGGTGAGACGTTCACAGCAGAGCCCACAGTGGGAGGAGCAGGTGAGACGTTCACAGCAGAGCCCACAGTGGGAGGAGCAGGTGAGACGTTCACAGCAGAGCCCACAGTAGGGAGGAGCAGGTGAGACGTTCACAGCAGAGCCCACAGTGGGAGGAGCAGGTGAGACGTTCACGGCAGAGCCCACAGTGGGAGGAGCAGGTGAGACGTTCACCGGCAGAGCCCACAGTGGGAGGAGCAGGTGAGACGTTCACAGGCAGAGCCCACAGTGGGAGGAGCAGGTGAGACGTTCACAGGCAGAGCCCACAGTGGGAGGAGCAGGTGAGACGTTCACAGCAGAGCCCACAGTGGGAGGAGCAGGTGAGACGTTCACAGCAGAGCCCACAGTGGGAGGAGCAGGTGAGACGTTCACAGCAGAGCCCACAGTGGGAGGAGCAGGTGAGACGTTCACAGCAGAGCCCACAGTGGGAGGAGCAGGTGAGACGTTCACAGCAGAGCCCACAGTGGGAGGAGCAGGTGAGACGTTCACAGCAGAGCCCACAGTGGGAGGAGCAGGTGAGACGTTCACGGCAGAGCCCACAGTGGGAGGAGCAGGTGAGACGTTCACGGCAGAGCCCACAGTGGGAGGAGCAGGTGAGACGTTCACAGCAGAGCCCACAGTGGGAGGAGCAGGTGAGACGTTCACAGCAGAGCCCACAGTGGGAGGAGCAGGTGAGACGTTCACGGCAGAGCCCACAGTGGGAGGAGCAGGTGAGACGTTCACTGCAGAGCCCACAGTGGGAGGAGCAGGTGAGACGTTCACAGCAGAGCCCACAGTGGGAGGAGCAGGTGAGACGTTCACAGGCAGAGCCCACAGTGGGAGGAGCAGGTGAGACGTTCACAGGCAGAGCCCACAGTGGGAGGAGCAGGTGAGACGTTCACGCAGAGCCCACAGTGGGAGGAGCAGGTGAGACGTTCACGGCAGAGCCCACAGTGGGAGGAGCAGGTGAGACGTTCACAGCAGAGCCCACAGTGGGAGGAGCAGGTGAGACGTTCACGGCAGAGCCCACTGTGGGAGGAAGCAGGTGAGACGTTCACTGCAGAGCCCCACAGTTGGAGGGAGCAGGTGAGACGTTCACAGCAGAGCCCACAGTGGGAGAGCAGGTGAGACGTTCACGGCAGAGCCCACAGTGGGAGGAGCAGTGAGACGTTCCAGCAGAAAGCCCACAGTAGGAGGAGCAGGTGAGACGTTCACTGCAGAGCCCACAGTGGGGGAGGACAGGAGAGATCGTTCACAGGCAGAGCCCACAGTGGAGGAGCAGGTGAGACGTTCACAGCAGAGCCCACAGTGGGAGGAGCAGGTGAGACGTTCACAGGCAGAGCCCACAGTGGGAGGAGCAGGTGAGACGTTCACAGCAGAAGCCCACAGTGGAGGAGCAGGTGAGACGTTCACAGCAGAGCCCACAGTGGAGGAGCAGGTGAGACGTTCACAGCAGAGCCCACAGTGGGAGTGACAGGTGAGACGTTCACAGCAGAGCCCACAGTGGGAGGAAGCAGGTGAGACGTTCACAGCAGAGCCCACAGTGGGAGGAGCAGGTGAGACGTTCACGGCAGAGCCCACAGTAGGAGGAGCAGGTGAGACGTTCACGGCAGAGCCCACAGTGGGAGGAGCAGGTGAGACGTTCACGGCAGAGCCCACAGTGGAGGGAGCAGGTGAGACGTTCACAGCAGAGCCCACAGTGGGAGGAGCAGGTGAGACGTTCACAGCAGAGCCCACAGTGGGAGGAGCAGGTGAGACGTTCACGGCAGAGCCCACAGTGGGAGGAGCAGGTGAGACGTTCACGGCAGAGCCCACAGTGGGAGGAGCAGGTGAGACGTTCACAGCAGAGCCCACAGTGGGAGGAGCAGGTGAGACGTTCACAGCAGAGCCCACAGTGGGAGGAGCAGGTGAGACGTTCACGGCAGAGCCCACAGTGGGAGGAGCAGGTGAGACGTTCACGGCAGAGCCCACAGTAGGAGGAGCAGGTGAGACGTTCACAGCAGAGCCCACAGTGGGAGGAGCAGGTGAGACGTTCACAGCAGAGCCCACAGTGGGAGGAACAGGTGAGACGTTCACAGCAGAGCCCACAGTGGGAGGAGCAGGTGAGACGTTCACAGCAGAGCCCACAGTGGGAGGAACAGGTGAGACGTTCACAGCAGAGCCCACAGTGGGAGGAGCAGGTGAGACGTTCACGGCAGAGCCCACAGTGGGAGGAGCAGGTGAGACGTTCACAGCAGAGCCCGCAGTGGGAGGAGCAGGTGAGACGTTCACAGCAGAGCCCACAGTGGGAGGAGCAGGTGAGACGTTCACGGCAGAGCCCACAGTGGGAGGAGCAGGTGAGACGTTCACAGCAGAGCCCACAGTGGGAGGAGCAGGTGAGACGTTCACGGCAGAGCCCACAGTGGGAGGAGCAGGTGAGACGTTCACAGCAGAGCCCACAGTGGGAGGAGCAGGTGAGACGTTCACGGCAGAGCCCACAGTGGGAGGAGCAGGTGAGACGTTCACGGCAGAGCCCACAGTGGGAGGAGCAGGTGAGACGTTCACGGCAGAGCCCACAGTGGGAGGAGCAGGTGAGACGTTCACGGCAGAGCCCACAGTGGGAGGAGCAGGTGAGACGTTCACAGCAGAGCCCACAGTGGGAGGAGCAGGTGAGACGTTCACAGCAGAGCCCACAGTGGGAGGAGCAGGTGAGACGTTCACAGCAGAGCCCACAGTGGGAGGAGCAGGTGAGACGTTCACAGCAGAGCCCACAGTGGGAGGAGCAGGTGAGACGTTCACAGCAGAGCCCACAGTAGGAGGAGCAGGTGAGACGTTCACGGCAGAGCCCACAGTAGGAGGAGCAGGTGAGACGTTCACAGCAGAGCCCACAGTGGGAGGAGCAGGTGAGACGTTCACGGCAGAGCCCACAGTGGGAGGAGCAGGTGAGACGTTCACGGCAGAGCCCACAGTAGGAGGAGCAGGTGAGACGTTCACGGCAGAGCCCACAGTGGGAGGAGCAGGTGAGACGTTCACGGCAGAGCCCACAGTAGGAGGAGCAGGTGAGACGTTCACGGCAGAGCCCACAGTGGGAGGAGCAGGTGAGACGTTCACGGCAGAGCCCACAGTGGGAGGAGCAGGTGAGACGTTCACGGCAGAGCCCACAGTAGGAGGAGCAGGTGAGACGTTCACGGCAGAGCCCACAGTAGGAGGAGCAGGTGAGACGTTCACAGCAGAGCCCACAGTGGGAGGAGCAGGTCAGACGTTCACGGCAGAGCCCACAGTAGGAGGAGCAGGTGAGACGTTCACGGCAGAGCCCACAGTGGGAGGAGCAGGTGAGACGTTCACGGCAGAGCCCACAGTGGGAGGAGCAGGTGAGACGTTCACGGCAGAGCCCACAGTAGGAGGAGCAGGTGAGACGTTCACGGCAGAGCCCACAGTAGGAGGAGCAGGTGAGACGTTCACGGCAGAGCCCACAGTGGGAGGAGCAGGTGAGACGTTCACAGCAGAGCCCACAGTGGGAGGAGCAGGTGAGACGTTCACAGCAGAGCCCACAGTAGGAGGAGCAGGTGAGACGTTCACGGCAGAGCCCACAGTGGGAGGAGCAGGTGAGACGTTCACGGCAGAGCCCACAGTAGGAGGAGCAGGTGAGACGTTCACGGCAGAGCCCACAGTAGGAGGAGCAGGTGAGACGTTCACAGCAGAGCCCACAGTGGGAGGAGCAGGTCAGACGTTCACGGCAGAGCCCACAGTGGGAGGAGCAGGTGAGACGTTCACGGCAGAGCCCACAGTGGGAGGAGCAGGTGAGACGTTCACGGCAGAGCCCACAGTGGGAGGAGCAGGTGAGACGTTCACGGCAGAGCCCACAGTAGGAGGAGCAGGTGAGACGTTCACGGCAGAGCCCACAGTGGGAGGAGCAGGTGAGACGTTCACAGCAGAGCCCACAGTGGGAGGAGCAGGTGAGACGTTCACGGCAGAGCCCACAGTAGGAGGAGCAGGTGAGACGTTCACAGCAGAGCCCACAGTGGGAGGAGCAGGTGAGACGTTCACAGCAGAGCCCACAGTAGGAGGAGCAGGTGAGACGTTCACAGCAGAGCCCACAGTAGGAGGAGCAGGTGAGACGTTCACGGCAGAGCCCACAGTGGGAGGAGCAGGTGAGACGTTCACGGCAGAGCCCACAGTAGGAGGAGCAGGTGAGACGTTCACAGCAGAGCCCACAGTGGGAGGAGCAGGTGAGACGTTCACGGCAGAGCCCACAGTAGGAGGAGCAGGTGAGACGTTCACGGCAGAGCCCACAGTGGGAGGAGCAGGTGAGACGTTCACAGCAGAGCCCACAGTGGGAGGAGCAGGTGAGACGTTCACAGCAGAGCCCACAGTGGGAGGAGCAGGTGAGACGTTCACGGCAGAGCCCACAGTGGGAGGAGCAGGTGAGACGTTCACGGCAGAGCCCACAGTGGGAGGAGCAGGTGAGACGTTCACAGCAGAGCCCACAGTAGGAGGAGCAGGTGAGACGTTCACGGCAGAGCCCACAGTGGGAGGAGCAGGTGAGACGTTCACAGCAGAGCCCACAGTGGAGGAGCAGGTGAGACGTTCACAGCAGAGCCCACAGTGGGAGGAGCAGGTGAGACGTTCACAGCAGAGCCCACAGTGGGAGGAGCAGGTGAGACGTTCACAGCAGAGCCCACAGTGGGAGGAGCAGGTGAGACGTTCACAGCAGAGCCCACAGTGGGAGGAGCAGGTGAGACGTTCACAGCAGAGCCCACAGTGGGAGGAGCAGGTGAGACGTTCACGGCAGAGCCCACAGTAGGAGGAGCAGGTGAGACGTTCACAGCAGAGCCCACAGTGGGAGGAGCAGGTGAGACGTTCACAGCAGAGCCCACAGTGGGAGGAGCAGGTGAGACGTTCACGAGCAGAGCCCACAGTGGGAGGAGCAGGTGAGACGTTCACAGCAGAGCCCACAGTGGGAGGAGCAGGTGAGACGTTCACAGCAGAGCCCACAGTGGGAGGAGCAGGTGAGACGTTCACAGCAGAGCCCACAGTGGGAGGAGCAGGTGAGACGTTCACAGCAGAGCCCACAGTAGGAGGAGCAGGTGAGACGTTCACAGCAGAGCCCACAGTGGGAGGAGCAGGTGAGACGTTCACAGCAGAGCCCACAGTGGGAGGAGCAGGTGAGACGTTCACGGCAGAGCCCACAGTGGGAGGAGCAGGTGAGACGTTCACAGCAGAGCCCACAGTGGGAGGAGCAGGTGAGACGTTCACAGCAGAGCCCACAGTGGGAGGAGCAGGTGAGACGTTCACAGCAGAGCCCACAGTGGGAGGAGCAGGTGAGACGTTCACGGCAGAGCCCACAGTGGGAGGAGCAGGTGAGACGTTCACGGCAGAGCCCACAGTGGGAGGAGCAGGTGAGACGTTCACAGCAGAGCCCACAGTGGGAGGAGCAGGTGAGACGTTCACAGGCAGAGCCCACAGTGGGAGGAGCAGGTGAGACGTTCACAGCAGAGCCCACAGTGGGAGGAGCAGGTGAGACGTTCACAGCAGAGCCCACAGTGGGAGGAGCAGGTGAGACGTTCACGGCAGAGCCCACAGTGGGAGGAGCAGGTGAGACGTTCACGGCAGAGCCCACAGTAGGAGGAGCAGGTGAGACGTTCACGGCAGAGCCCACAGTGGGAGGAGCAGGTGAGACGTTCACAGCAGAGCCCACAGTGGGAGGAGCAGGTGAGACGTTCACGGCAGAGCCCACAGTGGGAGGAGCAGGTGAGACGTTCACGGCAGAGCCCACAGTGGGAGGAGCAGGTGAGACGTTCACGGCAGAGCCCACAGTGGGAGGAGCAGGTGAGACGTTCACGGCAGAGCCCACAGTGGGAGGAGCAGGTGAGACGTTCACAGCAGAGCCCACAGTGGGAGGAGCAGGTGAGACGTTCACGGCAGAGCCCACAGTGGGAGGAGCAGGTGAGACGTTCACGGCAGAGCCCACAGTGGGAGGAGCAGGTGAGACGTTCACAGCAGAGCCCACAGTAGGAGGAGCAGGTGAGACGTTCACAGCAGAGCCCACAGTGGGAGGAGCAGGTGAGACGTTCACGGCAGAGCCCACAGTAGGAGGAGCAGGTGAGACGTTCACAGCAGAGCCCACAGTAGGAGGAGCAGGTGAGACGTTCACGGCAGAGCCCACAGTGGGAGGAGCAGGTGAGACGTTCACGGCAGAGCCCACAGTAGGAGGAGCAGGTGAGACGTTCACAGCAGAGCCCACAGTGGGAGGAGCAGGTGAGACGTTCACGGCAGAGCCCACAGTGGGAGGAGCAGGTGAGACGTTCACAGCAGAGCCCACAGTGGGAGGAGCAGGTGAGACGTTCACAGCAGAGCCCACAGTGGGAGGAGCAGGTGAGACGTTCACAGCAGAGCCCACAGTGGGAGGAGCAGGTGAGACGTTCACAGCAGAGCCCACAGTGGGAGGAGCTGCGTTTCTGTTAGTATCCTCCATAGTAACATGGTGGGGAGGTCACAGTGTAACAGGTGCTGGGCCCCAAGGAGCCGCTGCCTCCCCAGGAGCAGACGTGTGGTTTTCTGACCCTGGAAAGGTGGGGATGTCCTCCTCCTTACCTGCCTCTGTTTCGCCCTGGTACTGAAACATGATGTTCTGATCCACCTCCTCTGGCTCCTGGACAGAAACACCAATGTTCCTAAAAACCCTCCTGACCTAAAGCTAGCTTACGTCATGTTTCTCCTGAAGGCTCCCTTCCCAGTTCTCCCAGTTAAAGGGACAGAGGATGACACAGCAGGCCATCCTGGACAATCATGGACGTCCACGTCTAATAAGACTGGAGCAGAAGGGTCAGGGTGGTCCAGGAACTCCCAGGAGAGGCTGCTAGCTGGACAGTTAGCCTACTCCACTACAGCAACTATCAGCTGCTGGTTTTAACATGTTTCAGGGTTTAATTCAGCTTCCTACCAACGTAGTTCTCCACGTCACTGATGTAGAAGGTGGGGGCGGGCATGGACAGGCCCAGGCCATCCTTCTTCTGAACCATGATGGGTTCGTTGAAGCCGTTCTCCTCCAAGTAGTCCATGGACAGCTGGCTGCCGCTCAGCTTCACCACGATGTCGTCGGCACTAAGTGGAAAGAAGGAGCAGAGAGTGTCCATCAGCCTCAAAGGTAGAAAATAGCGCCCCCGAGTGGAAGTACCTGATGCTGCCACACCTTCTCATTCATAGGCCTAAATATTCACACCCCTTCAGCTGGTCCAGGATTGGCCCAGTTACTAAAACACAGACCTGCAGGGATTTTACTGGGATTCGATGTGATGGCTGCTGGTGAGGATGGTGGAAAAGGCAGATGGTCTAAACATCTAGATCTAGGATCTTCTTCTCAGACACCCTGTCTACTTTTAAGGCTAGGCTTAAAACTTTCCTTTTTGATAAAGCTTCTAGTTAGAGTGGCTCAGGTTATCCTGATCTATCTCTATAGCTCTGCTGCTATAGGCTTAGACTGCTGGAGGACATAGGGACCCCTTTTTCATCATTCTGCTTCATTCTATCTCTATTCTCCCACTCTGCAGAATCTGTTAGTTCAATCTCTAACGTTCTGCTCTCTCTGCTTTTTCTCATAGTAGCTTCATCTGGTCTGTTCCTGTTTGGCTGTGACTCCATCCTGGAGAGAAATATCAGCTGTGCTGCTGCCATCAACACCTTTGTTTCTAGATGTTGGAGCTTGGCCTGTTTTCCAGTGTAGTCCTGTTTCTCTGACTGGATGTACTGTCCTTATTCCTGTTTCTGTTGACATGAAAACTTGTCCGATGAACTGTTTCTTTCACACACAGAGCCTCCTGTGGAGCTAGCTTGATGATCTGGTTAATCTGGATCTATAAAGTGACTTGAGATGACATGATGTGAATTGGAGCTACATAAATAAACTGAACCGAAATCTGCAGAACAAGCTGCCCTCAATCTCCTCATCAGTACCCAGAGTCCTGCTCTGTGTTCTATTCCTCAATCGAAACCCAACGCTTCTGGTTCCAGACTCAGAGGTTCTGTAGAGAACATCAGAGAAGAACCAGCACTGTTAAGAGCAGTGCTTCAGCACTCTGGACAGAGAACATTGAAGATGGACAGGGTTAAATTGATGGACAATCCTGGAGGAGAAGAACACGTTAGAGATTCCAGAAGATTAGAGACCTTCTAGCAGATAGGTTAAATGAAGAACACAGAAGGAATCAGAATGGCCTAGTCCAAGTCCAGATGGACACTGAACGACATCCTGCATCCAGGCTGACTGAGCTTTAGATGTTCACAGAAGGTCTGTCTCCTGAAATCCTTCAGTTTAAGGACTTCCGGAGGAGGACTCTGAAGCACCAATGAGGGTCTCAGTCATGAGGAGGATTGTCCTGAGTCTGAGGTTGCCGGTTCAAGTACTCCCCTGCCTGACCGGAGCTCAGAGGGATGAAGGCGACTGTACCTGGGGAAGGTCCGGCTCCGCAGCTCCTTGATGAAAACCTGGCTGCCGTTCTGAACCGCTCGGATGTCTGCGCTTTGCCCGGTGTCATATTTGCTCCAGTTCTTTTTCTTTTTCACTGAAAGAGTCAGAAACGGTTGTTAATAAGCTAAGAAAGGACAGTGGTTGGTCTTCAAACCGTTCAGCTTTGGATTCAGCTGAAACGGCGGCTGAACCGGACCACCGTCACTCACAGGTAGATTTGCCATGGGTCTTCTCGCAGTTGGGGCAATGGTAGATATCGATGTCCGGAGCGTCGTCTTCATCAACCCCAACACAGCTGAAAGCAGAAGCAAAGCACTGTTAAACAACGCAGCAGAACCGTTTGTGACGGCTGAGGAAAAAGGGGCGGAGCTACAACAGTAAAGACGTTCAGATCAAATGGGGGGGTAGGATGGCGATGACTTTTTAATATAAGCAGTTAAAGAAAAATGCTCGGATTAAAAGGAAGTTAAAGCCTAAGAGAAAAATGGATGCTAGCAAGGCGGAGGTCCTGGAGGTCAGAGGGAAGTCAGACAGGTTATACTTAGGGCCCCAGCCAGGGGCCCCTGATGCTTGTCGTCATGGGGACCAATCTAAGTCGTACTGCTGGTGAGATTTGACTGTAGCTGCTATGATTTAAGCTTCCCAGGTGTCTCCATTGCACATTTACACTACCCCCAACCCCCCAGGCTGCCAACTGACCTTCCACTTTATTCAGATACGTTTTTACAACAACAGCGCGGTGTTTTATAGAGCCGACAGGCAGAGGCGTCAGAGGTCGCCACAGCAGGATGGTTTCATGATGCTGCATCAGAAACAAAGCCACTGCAGCTTAGAGCTAGGATGATCTGCAGAATCATCGCAGTTTAATCATTTCTCTGCAATTTTCAAATAGCTGCCATTATGTTTGGTCATATTACATTTAAAAAGAATAAGTAGCTAAAATTATCTCTCCAGCCCTTTAGCTGGCGGTAATATGCTCAAAGTTGGTTCTAAACCACACAGACGGGAAGAGAGATGCAGCTAGGATGCAACTTCATGCATTTAGAATTAATCATTTCTTGACGAAACTGTAAAGTTCTGCAACAAAGGACTCTGGAGAAGCAAGGTCATTAAAAACTGAAACATTTACATGATTTTGGTTAATCCAAAGAAACATCTAAAGAAAATCACAAAACCGGCTTCCCTGAGCAAGACCCTTAACCCCACACTGCTTCACAGGCGGCGCTCCAAAGGTTTGCTCCATCAGAGGAACGCTGTCATGTTACGGATTCTACCTGTTCTGAAGGCAGCAGTTACTGATCAATCAACCAATCTAAGGCTGACTGATCTTATCCATCATTGACAGCTCTCAGGTTTCTCTTCTGTCAAGATCTTTTCAGAAAATGAAAGGATTCATGTAGACCTGAAACAATCAGATTATTCAATGATTGAAATAATTATCAACTAATGGATTAATCATTAACTGGAGTATAGAGACTGTAAAACCTGCCTTTAGCTGACAGAGTGACCCAATTAGAGTTGGAATTATACCAAGATTGTAAAAATTTCTGGTGTTTTAGATAAAAAAAAAAACAATCTGCTGTATAATCCAGAACTCAAGCGAAAAAGTTTTAGTTTCACATGGTTTCATTTTGTAGAAAAAATCTTCTTTAAGGAACATTGACTACCTGATTATTTATCATTAATCTAAAAAAACAATCAACAGATTAATCGATTTGTAATATAATGCCGTCCCTTATTCATGTTTTTTAAATATGATAAATAAAAAGAAAAGAGACATCCTTATATTTGATCTATTTAATGGTCCAGCTGTTTAAAATCTGACTGAAAGAACTAAACTTAGTGAGATTAACAGGAACCGTGAAACAGGAAGTTCTAAAAATAATGCATTTACTGCATCATAGTTACTTTAACACATTTGTTGTATATCCTACCCTGCTAATATGAAACGATTGTGTTAAAGTAACTAAATATGGTTAAGTGCCAAAAACGGTTGGATTATTTTCTTCAGTGTGACTAACAGACGGGTGTCCCTGGTTGCCCGGATTCGCTGTCAGAAGGAGAACCTTCCTGTTTCCTCCGTCCAGCATCATCTTTCCCATCATCCTCTCCTTCTGATCAGAGAACTGGAGGAGTTTATCCAGATTTAGGTTCACTAACAGAGGAGGTTCATCCTGGATCTTGGGATCCATGAAGGACATCATCTGGATCCATTCATGGTTCTGTTCTAACTATGGTTTTACTTCTATTAGAGTAAAGGCTCAGATTAAGACAGAACTATGGCGCCCTCCAGTGGCCGATGTTAACGTTACAATAACAAATGTGGATGTCATCAATGAAAAGCATGGAGCTCATTTTATTCCTTTATTTTATTTTAACCCATTAATCAGCAGTTAACCATGAGTTATTATTTCTTTACGTCCCTGGATGGATTTCAGGAAAAGATGATAAAGTTCCTGAAACTTTGTAAAGTAATATTAGAGTGAAAACGGTGTTTATGCGAGGTCATGGATAGTGTAATATATTATTAATCACATTTTTTCCACTGTTTCCACAGCAATGGGAAATATTTGGGCCCCAAATGGACCCTCCCTCAAACCAGGGAGAGAAGGACCCTTTTATCGGCCACATGGGAAGGAGACCAGGAACCGGGAATGCTCCAAATCGCTCTACTAACCCAAGATAAACTTTTAAGATGTTTTTAGGCCAGAATGGAGATTTTACTGAATCTAAAACAGAGAGCTGTTGTTTTAGCCCAGAGCTGAGGATGTCCTGCAGAGTACACTGAACTCCAAGCCTTTCCAGTCTACCGGATTATTCTCCTCATCAGATTAGCGCTCTCTAAATGATCAGCTGCTGGAGAGAATGGCTGCTAAACTGGCCACACAAAGTTTCACTCTGCTTTAAATTAAAGTCTTTCAACCAGAGAAAACTATTTATAAAATTAAATTAAGATAAGGAGGAAAATTTCCTGAAATCTAATATCTGAACTAGACATATATAAAAAAGAGAGGATCCGTCCTGCTGGACTGGACTGGAACGGTGGGAGGGGCAGGCTGTTAACCAGCAATACCTACAGGTTTACATGGTACGCCCTGCTTATGGGACGTACGGCTTTGGTACGCTCTAATTTAGACCTAGACAACTTTTACTGTCATTTTCTATACACAGTATATACTAAACAACATTTAGGACAGCTTTCAGACAGTAAATGAACATTTCCATTCCGTAAAGTGCAGCAGTGATCAAAGGTAAACAGAGTGGGACAAAAAACGTATCAATCTGGAAGTTCAGAGCATTAATATCTATGATGCAGATATGCAGCAGTCTGGTTTGGTGTTATCAGTGTGATGCAGGATCTGGGACATGATTTAGATCAGGGGTAACCAATTAAAAATCAGCCGGATCCGAATAAAATCATCAACCAGTAAAGATCCGGAGACATTTTTAATGATCCGTTACTTTAAACAGAATTTATCACAGGTGTTTATGCATCCATGTTATACATTGAATTGTTAAATTAAAAAATATAAAAAAAAAAATAGAAAAATCATTTTAAAATCTAAAGTGTTTTTTTTTTAAGTATAGAAAAGCAATCTTTCAGTTTGGTTTATAGACAATTTCCTGATTCCCATATTTTCTCAAACAGCTGAACTGATGGTTTGTTATTTTCTTTCTTTTTTCTGTCTTAATGTTGGCAGTGGGCTTTAGGCTGCCCTGCAAGGCTTTAAACCTGGGTTTAACCGGAGACTAAGCCATTCTCAAGCACATATCAAGGTGCTCATTTTTATCCATATTTATTTTTTATCCTGTTCATGGTGGAGAATCCTGCTTCACAGCAGCAGGTTGAACCAAACATCCTCTAAATGATCAGGCTCCGCTCCGGTCCGGCCAGGTCAAGATTCGCTATTGCAATCTCACCAAACAGGAAAAAGAACCGCAAGAAGATCTGGTTTGTCAAATTAAAATATAGTAACAACAGATCGGTGACTACAAATTAGAGCAAAATTCTTCTATATTTCAAAAAACTAACGCAGTTTATTTAAAAGATTGGATGCAAACTATTGGTTCTTCAACAGACCAGGAAGCAGATTTCTCATCTCCATTAGAAACATCTGCTGGATGCTGATGGGGAGTTTTTTAATAAGTCATATTGAACTAATTGTGTATTTCTGCATGTTTTGCTCCTAAGAAATTTAATGATAATATCGCAATCCTCTGCTCGAGCTCTGAGGATAAGTCGGAGCACAGCAAGAGGAGAGGAACAGCGGAGGCTGCAGGCTTTGCTTTGCAGGAGGTCTGGATGCTGCGGGACGGAGCGGAGACGGAGGATGTAGGATTTCAGGGTAACAGGAGAAGTGAAGTTAGACACTGTCGTCAGACAACATGCGGTAATTTATAAATGATTGAAATCAGGTTGGGTCCGGATTAGCCAGCAGGTGGGTCCAGATCCGCACCGCGGTCCTCTAATCTGTGACCTCTGATTTAGAGTTTTCTTATCAGTTCATCAGTGTGATGGCGGTGGGGAAGAAGCTGCTGCAGAACCTGCTGGTCCTGCATTGAATGCTGGGAAGCCTCTTCCCAGAGGGCAGCAGGGAGAACAGTCCATGGTGGGGGTCTGTTATTGATGGAAAATGTAAAATCCCTACAGAAGATTTCATTGAGGTTAACAGGCGCTGTTTTACTAACAGGTTAGCGTCGAACTTTGAAAAGTTTACAAGAACTCACTGGCTGCCTGATAACTACAGGATTATTTTTGGAGGGTTTTTTGTTCTTTGGGACGATGCTGTCTGTTAGTGAGGCGTTCATGAGGCGTCATGAAGCGTTTCACATTCATACAAACTGTTCTGATACTGTGTCACTGAATACTGACACCTGCTGGACATTTAAAATCACTACAGGTAGCTTCTTCAACAGACTATACTGACACCTATTGATGACCTAAAATATGATTTTACGCTATTTTTCGCGATAATGGATTATTTCATATCTATAATTTGATTTGAAAAAAATGTTTGATACTTTTAGATACAATCTGTAAATGTGAACATAAAATGGGAAAATGTAAGTGAAGAAGGATGTTTTTGTGGAGTAGGATTTATTTATTTACATTTCTTTCAACAGAACTGATAAGGTGTGAATTTGTGGAAAATGAAGAGAGGAAAAAAAACCACAGAGATCAGCCTCCAGCTTCTACAAGAGAAATCAGGTGAGAAAAGTGACTTGCGTAAAATGTTGTGTTAAAGATTGTAACATTGAATTATTAATCCCTGGTTTCAAACTGGAATTACTGGG